TGTGTTGTAAGTAATGCAAAGTAGCTAAGTTGAAGAAATCAGAAAAATGTTTGTGTTGTTCTCATTCTCTCTATATTTTCCACTTGTTCTATCCATATTTTCTAGATTTTGACAGTTGTAGGCGTCAGTCACTATGTTGATTTCCGGGGACCAGTAATTGGACGACACTTGGATTGGATTTGAAGTGCATTAAGTGCTCCCTTTTAGTCTTGTCCAGACACACACATTGTTTAACTTGTCCAAAGAAGCGAACTTCCCTAGATTCTCTAGTCAGCTTGATTTGCTCCTTAGGATCGACTAGGGAGGATCTTGGGAAATTCCACCCAAGTATAAGGGTCGGGTAGTTCTGACCGTGAGCATACACCATCTAGCTGACCTTGGTCTGGTAGGGCTTGCCATATGATCAAGTCGGTAGATTTTCTTTTGAGGTAGTGACATGTCATGGCGAATCGGGTCGGATTGGCATACGAGGGTGTCTACTTCACTAACCATGTGGCACCATGCTATAGGCTTGGCGATATGGCCTATTAACAGGGATATTTCAGTAGGTGAAGTAGTGGATGAAACTTGGTGACTTGTTGAATCTACTATTGACTTTTAAGCAGCTGACTATTTGAAATCTTCACAGGTGAGATCGGTTTTAAATGCTTTGTCGTCTTTGTTTTCTGGTCTAAGACAACAGCCTAAATCTTGATGGAACGTAAAACTACAAGTCAATGCTTGTCTCATTTTGGTTTCAGTACATTTTGTATTGATAAAACATCACTTGGGGCTATATTCAACTCCAAGTTTACAAACTACGTACATACATGATGGTGATGCTGATATTATATATATATATTTGAATTTTGAATTATGGCCATAGATTGGATTCCTTGTATAGTACTGTTGTTGTTCTTATCTTATCTGATATTTCATGTTTGTAGGGAGGGATTTAAGCTTTGGTTACCTATGAGAACACGGAAAGAATTGCTACAACAGGTTGAATACTGTTCTTTTTTCGTTGTGCCATTATTATATAAGGTAATTTAATTTGAGTGTCAGAAAAGCAAAGGACTTGGGTACAAATGCAGAAGCCGCCCAGACCGAGTCAATATTGCTGAGTCGAGGAAAAGAATTGTGTTATGCCAGTGTTGAGGCTCCTCTGTGTGCAAAAGGGCAGACAGCAAACATTTAATTTGAGGGTATGTTTAAGGGTAAGTTTAGTCATCCAATTTAGAGGAAAGCCGTAATTATTAATAAATTAAAGGAAGAAAATATAATAATCTAAAGTTGAAAGATAGAATCAGATGTTGAAGAAAAAGGTGCTAATCCGCAATTTAGGACTTGTTTGGCAGTGCTTTTGGAAGGGTTAAAAGCCCTATAGCGTTTGGCAGAAAAGTTATCCAGAAGCGTTTTCTGGCAAAGCGTTTGAATTTATTATGAAATTTCAAGACTATTTTTTTTTAAAAGCGCTTCTAACAGCAGAAATACTCCTTAGAGAAGTAGTCCCAAACGAGTCTTTATTCCAATGAATCATTGTTAAAACCATTAGTTGGTGTGGAGAAATTTGTAATTATTGAACGTAAGACCGTAAAAATACACCCTTTAACTTTTGTGTTGATACACACGGAGATGGAGAAGAAGAGGATGAGGATACTAATACTATAATAATAATTAAGGCCAACAAATAATTGTCTAAAGACTCTCATCTCATCTCCAATTTTGAATATGCAGCCTTTCCCCCTCCAGGTCCATCATTGTACGAGCAGCTCAATCAAGTGATCCAGTCAGATTGAATCTTTCTAAATCATCTCATCTAAGAATTCGCCCGTAATTGTAATTTGTATTGTCATATATACCAACCATATTTCTTTTGGACATTTAGGGGCGATTTCTTGCACGAGAGACACATGTTCATACTATTTTCTGTTGGGATTTATTTAATTTAAAAAAAAATTATGATACCATCTAATTAATTACTTTGCTAAATTCTACCGGAGAAGCGAAGGTTAAAAAGTATAACTCTTAACTTGAAGCTGGATAAAGAACACTAGCTATGCATTAACACTGCATGCTGCTAGCTTGTCCTGGGCTCATTGGTAAAATGTGCCTTATTAATTTCTTTGTTTTTTACGATGAGTAATTATTACAAACTTAATTAGCTCCAACCTAGCCATTCTAAGGCTACTGGCCGTCCTAATAACCAAGCTATAATATATTAGTTGACAATGTGACATAATCCTCTCTCTCTCTCTCTCTCTCTCTGTGTTGACCGGGGCCTCACCCATCTGTCCTCCATGAACCATTGCATGCACGAGAGACACATGCTCATCCAGAAGTCCAACTTCCTATATCTATATTATAATATTTTTACAAATATTATTTGTGCATATAGAATTAGTACGTATATATATATATTAATTGCTAGAAACGTACAAAGGTGGGCAGTATATGTATGGTCCCTCCCTCGCTCCTTGACCTTGAGCAAAGAAAGTAGTAGCTACTTGTCTCTTCTATGTAGACGCATCTTGTTGAATCCATGGTTTGTTTGTAAGATAGATAAACAGTCACATATGCTGCATGTGGGAGTAGCCAATCTTCCCTTATATAGATATATTAACAAACAAGACGTATATTCCACACCACACACCTGTGGTTGTAATTACTTTCCTCAATTACGTATTTGTGAAGAAATATTAATCTCCATATATAGATAGAATAAGAATACCAAATGTTACACACACCGAATCAAATCTGCAAAAAAGATTTGTCAAACCATTCGGTAAATAATTATTATTTGGATCACAGCTAATACAAAATTAATCTATTCATTTCCGTGTAGGAACTTTTTGTTGAGATCTACTGTTTTTTCAATCTAAAATAATCTATAAAATTTAACGTGCAAAGGAAGCAAATCATAAATCAAATTTGAAACGACAATACTTGTTTGAAAAGTAAAATAAAAGAAAATTGGGTTTACTGCAAAGCGTTAGGTATGTAATAAGGGAAAGAAAAAAAAACCGAGAGAGAAGATGAACATGCAGGTTTGTTTCAACTTTGATTAGCGAAATTATTGAGGAAAACATGCAAGTGAGATGGATTAAAAAAAAACGAGTAAGCAGGACGCCACCAACCTTTCCCTAACCCAAATGTCCTCACGTTGCTTTCTTACTTTTCATCTTTAATTTAATTCTAAGTTTTCTTTCGTACTATTGTTACAAAGAAAAACCCAAAAAGGTGGGTTGCTTTTCCTCGTACAAAAATAACTGGAACCTCAGCTCTGTCTTCTATTGGATCCCTCAGATTTATCGGTTTCAATAAAATAATAATAATAATAATAATATACAATAACAGCGAAGAAGCCCGTCTTACTCAACAATGGTGGGCAGTAGTACTGGAATAAATATATGTAGGTGAGGTGGCAAGTAGATGAACACAGACTGAAGATGACAAGGAAGCAGCCATATTTTCTTTCGTTAAATAATATATGTACGGAATGAATGTTGAGGTAAGGTTGTTGATTGAGGTGAGGTGACGAGGCTCAAGCTCAACCAATAATCGGGAAGGAAGCCAATATCCATGATTGCACTGGCGAAACATATATCACAACTTAACCCACACATCAGATCGATACAGACATATGATGTGTTGAGAGACAGCAAATAAATTACTATGTACTTTATTAGCAGGTTAATTGGTCCTTAATCCTTATCCGTATAGACTGACTGACTGACGGACTGGCAGGTGCGTGCATGCATGCTTCCCCTTTGAATTGATTCAGTTAAGCCAATGTTATGTGGCAACCATAAGCGATCGAAGAAGAACTATGTATATATGCATGCGCAGAAAAAGTTTACTGGTCGATGACCTAGATTTTATGTTTGGTAACTAGTGGTGCACCTAGATGCCTATAAAGGGAAGGGATGAACAAGACAAACTAATAATGCACGTAGCCAAGGCCCAAGCCTAGTAGGTAAAATAGGTACCACATATGGATAATGATCAACGAGTGGAGTAGTTATTTGTCAGATTTATATTGTTACACTTTTTGATGATGACTTTGACACAGACGAGGATGAAACAAATCGGAAACCCTAGCTATCAGTCAACGTGAGCATGTGGACACAATGCTCTTATGCTAGCCTACCCTCCGTCCTTGGTCCATCTTCTTCCCTATTTATCTACGCAACTGAAACGTATTTTTATCTTCAATCACTTCCACATCTACACAATTGATGATCTGCATTACAATATCAGTTTCGAATTTCATAATTAATATCGTTTTTGCAGCTCAATATTAATTAATATTTCTAGCTAATTAGGGTTAAAAAATTGAGATATTTAGTCATATACCCATTCTTAACACTAACACTATAAATAAACCATACACCATTTAATTTCTATAAACAAACCCAAAAAAAACCCAAAAAATGATAGCTGACCCTATTGAATTTAATTTTGATTATTAAATTACTTTGATGTCCTATTAAGTGTTTTGGGCTTTTTTAATGAGGTTTTGGGATCGGGTTTGTTTAAAGAAATCAATGGCAGTTTTATAATTTAAAAGAAGTTAAAAGTCTTTTTGTTATGTTGTAAATGAGCTTTGAGTGTGTTTCTAAAGTCTATTTCATATAAGATTTTTTTATAATTTGAGCTCCTATATTAAGTATAATAGTGAATCTCCCTAAAAAATTATAAACCTTTTTTACGGGCCGCAACTTTATATAGATATGATTAATGTCATGATATTCAAAATTCCTTTTTATATACAAAAACCAATGACATAATAATTATGTATGGCTTTTCTTGGCACAGAAGAACATTATCTTCAGTATTATTTAGTTACCAAAAAAAAACACTACATTTTTGACAAGACAAACTTAATATTTGCCAAAAAGTATATAAGTTGTCCACTCCCCACACAACGTGTTGAGACAAGTGTGTATATATATATATGTATATTTGTAATGTATGTATGATCACGCAGTAACACATTGGCGAACCACCGGTCCAAGTCAACCTTTCTTTTCCGGCCATCCTTTGCATGCACCTCTAGCTACCTACCTAAATATTATATACCTTCCATTTCCTCCTCCATTCTCAATCCAATCCGATCCCTTCTTGCAGTTGGAATTGGCCCTATTCTCCCTTCCTAGGTTAATTTCTTCAAAAGCTGAAATTACAATACAATGAGGAAACCCTGCTGTGATAAGCAAGACACAAACAGAGGAGCTTGGTCCAAGCAAGAAGACCTCAAGCTCATCGATTACATTCGCAAACATGGCGAGGGCTGTTGGCGTACCCTTCCTCAGGCTGCAGGTACATAAATACTTATTTATTTACACATATGCATGGATTAATAAGCCAAAACTTACACTCACATGAATGACAATATATGTATATATATATATATATATATATATATTCATCACAATGGATAGAATGGAGTAAAAGAAAAATACAAAACTGTTGTTGGTCTTGTTCCTAGAATTTACCTGAACCAACAACATTGCTAATTTGGTCCTCTTCTTCTTCTGAAATCAAAGAAGTATAAGAGGTTATATATAGAATAGAACCACAATTGATTCAGGGGTATTGTCTCCCTTTTTATCTTTTTGACTTTGGATCAGGCCTACTTCGTTGCGGTAAAAGCTGTAGGCTGAGATGGATAAACTATCTACGGCCAGACCTTAAAAGAGGCAACTTTGCTGAAGATGAAGAAGATCTCATCATTAAACTTCATGCACTCCTAGGCAACCGGTACTTACTATACATTTGCTTCTTCACATTCTGCCTAGCTAAGCTAATTCTTTATTATGACAAATTATGCAATTGCAGCATGCACAAATAAGTAAGAAATTGATTGTCTTTACAGATTTCAAATCAAGCAAAATTTTTTTTTAAAAAAGCACTTGGTGTAATTACAGTTTTGATTGGTCTAAAATTAGTTAGTTATGTTTTTTAGGTGGTCGTTGATTGCTGGGAGATTGCCGGGACGTACAGACAATGAAGTGAAGAACTATTGGAACTCTCATTTGAGAAGAAAGCTTATAAGCATGGGAATAGATCCAAATAACCATCGACCGAACACCATTAATCTCCCTCGCCCTCATCATAAAAACTCACAAGCTGTTAGCAGCACTGCAAAATTGTCTGCAGGTTTGAAAACCCCAACGAATGATCAGCCAGCAAGATTCGGTGGCAATAATTGTGACCAAGTATCGGACGGTACAAGTTGCTTAGAGGATCAATCTTGTGGCCATCAGCTGCCTGATTTAAACCTTGACCTCACAATCACGGCTCCTTCGTCTAATTCAGAACCTGAAAATCTCAAGGAGGAGATCTTATGAGTCCAAATGTCATCGGAATTTGCCTCGTCCATCAATATCCTTCCTCTCTTCAGATAATTGAATATTCATCGTCCACCAACATTAATTTTAGATGGACAGGCTTATGAAATTAGTAATAATTGGATGGAGATAGATAGGGCCTATAATTTTGTGGGACCTAATTGTTTTGGGTAAAACTATGCAAGAGGCATCGATCCCATTTATGGAAAGTCGGCATGAGATGATGAAAAAGTTACAATGCAGTAGCTGAAAAGAGAGATCGACATGAGTCATGAGTGCATATCAAAAGAATCTCTCTTGCATTTGAAGATCCCGTGGGCTTGCAATTGCTCTTAGATTTCAAGATTCTATATTAGCTTTAAAACAAGGCTTTGCAACAGGTGATGAGGAAGGATTGCCTTGATTAGAAAGTTGGTTAAACATAGTAATTAATAAATGCATTTGATTAGCTATGTAAGTTTGTGAACGTGAACATCTGGATTCTGGATGGAGAATAATTTTCTGATTTTAATTTCATTTATTCTTGATTGTAATTGGGTTTCAGTTTCTTTTGTTGGAAGGCCCCTTATTGATACTTGAGCCGTTGGATTAGTTTATCCTCCAAACCGATATCCGATAGGCTTCCAAACACGTATCCAGTTTCGTGCAATTTAGAGAATAATCTTTGGGTCCTGGGCCGGAAGCTAGCTAGATAATATTGTATTGTATTGTATTTTGGTAATTCATGAATCGATGTACAGCTTTCTGCCAGGATCCAATTAAGTTGGAATGTGAAAGGAAAACACATAGAAAGAGATTGATGTAATTTGATGCCAAACATTCAAAGGAGGACATATATATCGAGAGGGGACTCAGGGAGGAAGATTATTGGATACGTACTGCGCTGGCTGAGGGTAAAATAATAAAAATGTGATAAGCATATGTATCTTCAAGTTCAACTGGTGGAAAAAAAATACCAAACATTCAAAGGAGACACATCGATAGGGGAGGGAGATTATTGGATGCGTACTGCGCTGGCTGAGGGTAACTTGTAACTTGTGTTGTGTTGTGGTCCTTTTAAGTTTAGTAGGTGGTTGCATGCGCTTTACGCTACGTGCCGACCACCGTACGAACCATCTAGCAATGTGATAGCTAGATTTCACGATCATCATCACATGTTAGATAATTAGATTAATTAGAGAGGGAAATATACATATATAATACAACACTTTTGACATATGCCTGATCCTGATGCATATCTACCATTCAATTTCAATACATGCATAATGCATGATATGCATGATATGCATGATGGGAGGAAGAAGAACTAACAGTCCGTCCGATTTTCTTCATCATCTTTCCATTTTGGTTTTATTTTTCTGGTATATACTAACATAACACTGTACCATATGTAATTTATGCCCAAGTCTCCGACTAGGTTAGAGATCTGTATATATGATGAGTCTGGAATTAAGTCTTTCCAAAATAATGCAGAGGTGAAACTTTTATAGCCACTCAGAGATCGATGATCGGTATAGCCATTTGTTGGAAGAACATATTCTAACCAATCTCCTGCTGCTTCATTGATTATTTCATAGGATTCGTCTCAAATTCTAACCAATCTCCTGCAGGCCAGCCTAGGCAGGAGGAGACCAAGGTTTGCGAAGACTTTTCAGAGCGCTCCAGCACCCCGGCCAAGATGTGGGGGCCACCAACTCAAGCAAGGCCCAAGGCAAATTCAGTTCGTTCTCGTTGCCAAAGGTTAAAAAAATTTAAAATTCCGTGCGCTGTGGTTTTATAGAGGGATTTAGAAGATAAAGATAACGCATGATGCAATTGTAGAAACTGAAAATCTTATCCGAAATCTAATATGTGAATTTTATCAAAAAATATATATACATGTGTCAACCAAAAATTTTATCTGAAATATGAGATGTGAATTTTCACTACTACAAAACTGGTCAAAAGGTACGGTCATAAGAGCACAAATACAAAATTGTGCTGTCTTTTCTAACATTAAACATAAATAAATTATATTTGTGCTCTTTTCATATAAAACACAAATAAATGTGCCAAATATGTTGATATAGAGCACAATTTTATATTGAACACAGTTAATCGTGCTCAATTGGTTGTGTAAATTGATTTGCGTGCTATCTGACAAGTTTTTAATAAAAATAAATGATTTAATTTTTATAGACACGAACAATTGTGTCTTAATCTGACAGATGTGACAACATGAGACACAAAACCAATATTTGTGCCCAATGTATATATTTTTGACATAAATCGTGCTGAATATATATTTTTGTTACTTATATCGTGCCCAATAATTTACATGTAATAAATTATTTTTTTATTCATTTAAAAACCCCACGCCTTTCATAAAGAAAAAGTAAATAAATAACCCCTAAACAAAAAAATACGATCCCTCATCTTTCCAACCCTATAAAATATCTCACCTTCTCCTTTTTTAATGCCTTCTCATCTGAAAACTTCTCAATAGCCCACCCTTCTCCTTTTTTGAAGTCCTTCCCACTTGAAAACCTCGTTATCTCTCTCTCTCTCTCAACCTCTCCTTTCGCTTCAAGCTCTCCCTCCCTTTATCTCTTTCTCTCAGTTCGACGCCGCTGCCATCCACGACCCCCACCTAAACCTAAACCTCCAGATTTTGAAAAGTTCTCTCCTTTCATTCTCTCATTCTTAAGTTTTGGTTTTTTTTGAGTTTCATAGTTATAATTTGAAGACATTTTGTCGAAATTTCTGTTTGGTAGCTAAGAGAAAGGGTATCGGAAATAAAATTTATATTTTTAGTGTTTTTTTGTTGTTGAAATTTTGTGTCTGGCTGCTGAGAATAGGGTGAGGAAGTTACAATTTGAATTTGTTTATTTGGTCATTTGTGCACTTGTGAACCTTTGTACTATGTTTTCCTTGATGTGAACAGTGTTTTGATTTTATGAAGAAAAAATAAAATTGGATTTTGTGTTTTGGTCAAAGAATTAAGGCGTTTTATGATTTTTCTTTATTTATTATTTTTTTAATTTAGACTATTGAGCACAATTCCAAAGTTGTGCTTATGTGATAGCTATATATAAAAAAAAAGTCTAATCAGCTTTTCTGAAGTCTAATCAGCTTGTTCGAACAAAAGCACAAATGAGCATTATTCGTGCTCAATACCTCTGTCATGAATCACAAAATTGTGCTTTAGTAGCAATGGAAACCCCTATAGAGGAAACCGACAACCAAATCATGGCTGCACTGTGGCTATTAGAAATAAACACAAATATTTGTGCCCTTAAACTCTATGAGCACAAAATAAAATAGTGTCCTATGCGCATTTTTTTAGTAGTGTTTATAATAAATATTGACACGTCGCAACCAAAAATCTTATCCAAATTAATCGTTCAAGTATAAAAAATAAAAATAATTTAAAGCGAATAGTAATTGCCTTTTGCCATGGCAATGAGTGGAAACACAACTTGCCTTTTGCAAGGGCTGGCACTATTTATGTGAATAGTAACAGCCCTTACCTCCCCTTGCTCTTTGTTAGGGATGGCAATGGGTTAAATCAGGGGTGGATATGCCATTCCCATCCCCATCCCCATTAAGCTTTTTTGCCCCATCCCCACCTTCATACCCACAATATTCATATCGGGGATTCCCTATCCACACTTTCGTTGGGGAATGGGTTCCATGACCCACCTCATTACAGAAGAAAAAACCAATATATAACTACTTTGTTGAAGAAAAAAAATCACTAAGACAAGATAATGAATATATATAATATATACTTGTAAGACAATATAAGAATGTTTATATATGTACTGGAAGTTAACTAAATAAATAAGTTGTGTGGTTTAGGATTTGTATAAATTATATAAGTATATAATATAATAATATAAAATATAAAACTTAGTCGGTACAATCACTTTAATAGCATATATAAATATATATTCTAAACGGGGAGGATTCGGGTTGGGGATTAAAATATCATCCCCGCCCCTCTCCGAACACCATGCCCAAAAAATTCCCTGTATCCATCACCATACCCGTTTTTTGTCCTTCATACTCGATCCATTAGGGTCGAATCCCCGCAAAGACCTTCGTGGGGAAAATTGTCATCCCTACTCTATGTCATGGAAAATAGGTGAAAATGCTCTTATATAGGCTGCATGGTATCTTCAAAATGGATATTGTAACCCAAGCCAATGTTGTCATGGATGGTGATCAGATATAAGAGCATTTTTATACTTTAATGAAAGAGAAATATAGAAACTCATATTTGCCATATATATATATGCGTTTGGGACCTGCGCACAGTCTAGTCTATGTGTGGGGGTTGGGTGATGTGATCATGTGATGATATATATATGTGTCCAATCTCTAGCTACCTTTCTATATATATGATATATCCACTGATTTAGGACCCTTCATGTTCATAGAAGTTTCCATACTATGTAATGTATAATCTACATTTATTCAAATAAAAAACATACATATATGGACAAAATTAAAACATTATTTAACAAATTATACTATATTCTGATGGGATCATATATATATACACAAAGATATCCTCTCATCATATATACCCATTTCCTGGAATTATTACATAACAAATTCAGCTTATTGTTTAAAAAAATGAATATATACCTAAATCTATATGATTAATCGTTCATAGAGCATTTCATCTCTCTCTCTCTCTCTCTCTCTCTCTCTCTCTTATTAAGCATAATTATCTATGTGTAGAGTAAATCAATATTATTGTAAAAGAGTAGTCCATACTTGTATTTATGGAGTGGTGTACGTTGTTGAGGCACAATCTTGGCATGCCCTTCTTCTTTACTTCACCTGTTCTTCTTAAGTCAAATAGAATTTTCATTAATTAATTAATTAATTAATTAATAAAAAGTTTTACCTGTACATGGTGGGATTGGAAAAGGAACCCAACTTCCATGCATTGCCGATCGATTCAATGTACACATTAATTTCATATTTCATACATACTTATAATAAATTATTGGAGACATTTGGTTGCTTGATTGAAGTGTTGAAACACAAGGAAACCATATTCTGCTATATATATTCAACTTGCTTGTCATCAAAGATATATTATTCATGTTGAGTTTCTATATTATTAGTTATATATATGATCAATACATTAAAGTATAAAAGTAGTGTATATCTAGGTTAAGTACTGTGTGATTGAAATGTTAACTCGAAGTAGGTGCATTGACTTTTGATACATATGTATATATATTATATAGGTTGAGTTGAGTGCATGTTAAATAAGCCTCCGAATCGATCTCAGGTTATGGTTGGGTGATTAGGACTCCACATTAATTAAGAGCAAAGATTCCCTTTTGAGGATGTCTATTAATTCACTCGATCGATCACTTGTATAGGTCTTATCAATTTCCAAACTCAAAATGGAAATGGTGATGAATGATGATGCTGTTCCTTAAAAGTTGTCCAACAATAAAACAATAAAAAAAAAAACAAAGGGTTGACGCGAACTTTGCGGATGATTCTTGCTTGTGT